TGGAAGTACTGACCTTACTTTGAGTTTGATTCCATAAAAAGTGACAAAAACATTAGCGTCCGCTGCTCACTGCGTGGGAAGAAAACTTCTTTTTACAGCGAAAAAACCCCTAAACTTCTGAGCAAGCACCAAACATGCTGCCACTGGAATGTGAAATTCACACAGAAACTGCCATATCCTTACACTGACCGCTGCGACATACCTGCACCAGGGCAAACCTCCGCCTGCTCCACTCCTGCTATACAGGTGAAAATAGAGCAACAGGTTGATTTTATTTATTTTCTGCTGTGTTTTACGTGCATCTATTTGACAGAGTGAGTGTAAACACAAAAAAATATTTTATATGCTGGAATATGCAGAAAATAGGTTTAAATGTTAAACAAATTTCTTCCAGTCAGAGAATGTTGCATATAATTTAATCTTTGCTTGATGCATAAAGTTAAAAGATTAAAACTAATAAAACAAGTTTTAAAAAGAGACTTTTTCATTTGATTACATTTTATATGATGGATTATGCAGAAAAAGTTGAATTGGGTGGAAAGTTCTATTGCTTTATTATCTATTTAGGGTGTAATTTATGTTTTAAAAAGTAACTAAGTAACTAATTACTTTCAAAAATAAGTAATCAGTAAAGTAACAGGATTACTTTTTCAGGAAGTAATCAGTAATTAGTTACTGATTACTTTTTTCAAGTAACTTGACCAACATTGGTCTCAAAATGGTCAGTAATATTTGTTTTTCTTAATGTGGCCCTAATACCCCTTCAAGCATTATGAAGCCATACAGTACTTAAAATATACTTCCATTAAATTGTCTCCTGAGAGTGTAATGACACCATGCACAGTGGTCTGGTAACATGACTAATCACTGGTCCTATCCATGTGTTTTATCCAGTGGCATTGGGGGTTGTAAAATAACTGTACTCTCCAGTATAACCCCGACCCCCCCTCTCGTTACGCCCCTGCTGCACGCACCATCGAAAAATGACCGCGAGAAGAGTTTTTGCACAGTTGGGATGAATAGGCTGGTCATCAACTGTGCAGTTACCAGTTACTCACTCTGACCGCCTCCAGTCTCTCACTCAACCTCTGCACGGTTGCCACACGTTTGAAGCCCTGTGTGTCTTCCTGGTGGGCGGCGACAGATGGGCTGATTAAAATAGCGACCAATTTCTCTCTATTTAACATTCTCTCAGTTCTTTGCGTGTGTAAAGAAGCTGACCACCTCCTGGCTCTTCTTAATAAACAGCTGAAATGGCTCTGGACGGTAAAACTGC